GCCAAGAACCCACGTAAATAGTGGAGCTAAGAAATGAATTCAGGCTATCTGGCCACAGAGCATGATTATTACATCATACATTAGATTTTAAAAATAGGCTGGTAATAGTATTTAAGTTTTTAAATTAGTATTAAGTTACATAGTATTTAATTTTGTTTTGGAATCCTATGTGTTTTATTTTAACCAACAATCATTACCGTGAAATCTATTTTTATTTCCTTTTTTTAAAGTTTTGGTTTTTTGGGGTTTTTTTTTAGATTTTTATTTATTTATTTGAGAGAGTGAGAGCAGTAGCAGGGGGCCACAGGAAGAGGGAGAAGCAGACTCCCTGCCGAGCAGGGAGCCCGATGTGGGGCTCAATCCCAGAACCCCGGGATCATGACCTGAGCCAGGGGCGGACACTTAACCGACTGAGCCACCCAGGTGCCCCTCAATTTCTGTTTCTTTCACTCAGGAGACAGCATTACCCATCCAGAGTGGGATGAGAGGGGGCAATTAGTTATTATGTTGCCTTATCTTCAACAAACTAGGAACACAGTGTTACTACCTGGCAGTACTTTGTTCCACGTTTCACCGCCTTTGAATTTACCAACTACTGAAGGGGCTTTATCATTTAACTACAGGCTTAAATACAGACAAACAGAGGCTTTATCTTTTAAGTACAGACTTGTAACACCCCTTGGAATTTACCTCTCGGGCCCCTGTAATGCTTGTAGTACTTAGTAACTAAGAATTTGTGATTAGGCATTTTAGGCTGGGAGTAATTTGCTCCAAAGGCAGAAGAGCTAGGAGGCAGTGGGGGAGCTGGGGCAAACTGTATTTGGAATCAGAAGCCCTGGCATGGAGTACAGGTTCAGCACTAATTACCTGTTGAACTAATTAGCTGACTCCCTCCAGCCTCAGTTTTAACATGTTTAATATAGAAAGGAAGACATATATGAAGACTGAATGAAGGCATAAATGTAAAGGGCTTTCTTTCCAAATGTCAGTAAATGTATATTTTGGTGTAGGGGCCCCTGGGTGGCTCAGTGGGTTAAGCATCCGACTCTTGATTTTGGCTCAGATCATGGTTTCAGGGTCGTGGGATCAAGCCCCGCATGGGGCTCCACACTCAGCAGGGAGACTCTTGAGATTCTCTCTCTCCCTCTGCCTCTGGCCCTCCTCCCCCACCTCTTGAAATAAATAAAATCTTTTTAAAAATGTACATTTTGGCTTAATATAAAGAACTTTTGACACTTTTGACCCAGTGACCAGAACACAGTAGTCACACAATAAATGATAAGGAGGGTGGTAGTTTAAAAATAAAGCCTGACCTTGCAGAAGTGTTCAAAAGCAGACTGGATAGCTTTTTGGTATAGCTGTCATAAAATCAGTCAGGCAACAAGCAGAATGTTCAGATGCTTGTTTTAGGGATTCCTGCTCATGCACAGACCTCTGATGTACTCAAGTCTCATGACTCATCCAAGGGTGTGTACTTTGCAACAGGTAGTAATTGGCCTGGGGATATCTGTGTATTTCCATTTCCCCCTCTTTTGCTCAACTAGGGAGGAGGTAGAAAAGTTGGGTATAATATGCCATCCTCCCCTGGGAACTTTAGCCAGTTACAGTTCAGAAGGAAAGAGACAGCTTTGATTCCACTTATCTATCTGGGACATACTTATACTAAAAAAAAGTATGCATTATTTATCTGAAATTCAAGTTGAAATTTAAGTGGGCACCCTGGGGGAGAGAAATAACTTGAATGCCTAAGTGCCATCTCTAAAAATAGGATAATGAAATAGCAGGCACCAGAGAGCAAAAAACAAACAAACAAAAAACCAAAAACAAGCCTGGGTTTTGAAGAGCCTTTCCTTATGGAGAGGTAGGAACATGCTGCTTTTCAAAACAGACTCTAAGGGTCTGAAAGGAGAGATGCTATGCATTTGAGCACTCCACCTGGAACTCTGTAAACAACAGGCGCTTGATATTCCACAAGCACAAGGTCACCAGATAAAATACAAGATGCCCAAATTTGAATTCCAAAGGAAGAATGATATTTTAGTATAATTATGCCCCAATATTGCAATGGGATATGCTTATACTACAAAATGATTCGCTGGTTACCTGAAATTCAAATTTAACTGGGCATCCTGCATTTTTACTTGCTAAATCTAGCCACCTATCACATATTAACATTCTTACATCACCTGATTTGGGAGTTCAACTATCCAATGAAGTTACCAACCTAGAAAATCCCTGCTCAGTAAAACTTATTGCAGTCAAATCTTTAGAAAGATGCATTAAATTGTGAATTACCTATAAGGTACATTCTATGTACATAAGCTTTATTTACTTTTTCTTAGGTTTGCAACTGTAACATTATTTAAAGGGACTTAAATTTAAAACTTTAAGATTAGTAAGAAGAAAAACCATTATTTGTGGAAAGCCTAGTGGTTTGAACTTTAGGACAATTTAATGAGCTTGTGAATTTAGTGGTATTGCCTTTGAAACTGAGAGCTGGACAGATCATACAAAATTATCCAACTCAAGAATGTTCTGCAGAGCAGGCTGGGTATTTACATAACATAAAAATTAAGGTCCACGTGTCCATTTCCTCCCTCCACCATACACTGTTCCTCCTGCTTGCATCCCTTTATCAGCAAATGAAGCTCCAGCTACAGGACAGTAGAGACAGAAACCCTGGTACCACTTTAGTCTCCCCACCCTTATCAGTGAGGCTCGAGTTTGGGCCCCTGTCCTGTTATTCTCTCCAAACTACTGTAATACCTTAACTAGTTTCCCCATGTCTACCCACTCTCTGTTCTACTACTTCTCAATTGTAACTGCATTATTAGAATTATAAGGAGAATTTTTAAAAATCAAAACCACTCATGCCTGGACCCCACGCAGACCAGATGAATCAGAGTCTCTGGGAGTGCAGCCCAGACGTCAGCCCGCCAGGAGATTCTAATGTCCAGCCAGGATCCAGAACTATCGCTCTCCTCCATTCCATCCTTCCAGCTTCATCTCTACAGCAGCACAGTTAATTATGCTTTATAGCACAGCAACTGATTGTTTTATATGGTTTAAACAGATTCCTGTTTAAACACACACACACACACACACACACCCCAAACATCAATAGTTCTCCTTTGCCTATCAAAGCAGGCCCCAATTTTTGAACTTCTAGTTAACCATCTCAAAACCTATCCTTCCCCCAACCCCTATTATTCACATCCCCTAACTTTATGCTCCCCCAAGTTGGTCTACTGCTAGTCCCCAAACTTCCCCACCTTCTCCCCTCTGTTCCCACTGCACTTTTCATCTAGGATGGCCCCATATGTGTTTCACTCATCTTTCAAGGCCAGTGTCAAATGGTCTCTTCCTCCTGAACTTCAACTTCGGGGGCTGTAATCTTTCCCCCTTAAGCCTGTAGGGGTTTGTTCGTACCTGGTCTGGACATCCTAATGGATATATTTGCTTTATTTCTCTCCTCCCCTGTAATAGCATGAACCTCTTAAAGGTAAGGACTGACTGTGCCTCACTCCATTACAGGAGCCTAGGATGGCACACCATACATAGTAGGTGCTCCGTATTTCTGGAATCCTTTCGCATGAGGCTTCTAAAATTTGAGTTGGTAATTTAGAAACTATGATGTCGACCCATCCGAGGTTTTCATTATAATTAATACTGGGAGATGGACCAGGCTTGGGCTGTTGGACATTCTGGCAGCAGGGTTCCTGAGTGAAGATAAATAAGGAAGTGATGTAAGAACAGTAGCTGAGTGTTTCAAGTATCTTCGATCTACAGCGCCAAGATTAGAAAGCTGAAAAGTTTCTCAAACTATGCAGGGAAGGAATGGTGAGCAACTTTATTAAAAGACGGCGGCTGGTTTGGGCACCAAAGAGAAGCAGCACCAAAGACCTGAAATAAATCTTTATAATTAAAGGTTCGATGCATAAGTAATAGTTTTGGTTTCAAGTCAAAGCGCTGGGTTTGCCTGTGTAACTACAAAGCCCTCGCCGGTCAAACCTCGGTAAGCAGCAAAGGCTTCTCAACTTCCCAGAAAGTCTCCAGATTCAGCCCAAACTGTGCTGGGTTTTGCTAGAGGCTGGGGGGCGGGGGCGGAGGTGTTCATCAAGCTGCGGAACTGAGAACAATCAGGAGTTCTCACCCCGCAGCTCGAGAAGCCCTGCACGGCCTGCGCCC